AATCATTACAGCATCTTTTTATAATTGAGGAAAGTATAAAAGTAATTCATATTAATGTATATAGTAAGAAGCTTAATTATTTTTAATAGCTAAACCTTACAAGTTTATTCAAAGTTTCATTGATCCATAATAATTGATATAATTATAGAGTGATCATGAGAATTGAATAGAAGTATGCAATGTGTAATGATCAGATCAAGGTAAATATGCCTATTGTCTGAAACACACACTCTTTATCTGTGTTGGGAATATCCAAGGTCCAATTTAGTAGTTATTTTGAAATAATTAATTATCAATAATAGGTATTCTACTAGTTGTAGAAAATTAGAAATTATTCTCCTTATTGAATCATTCTTTCTATCTACCTTCTCCCCCCTTTTCTAGCCTCTGCTGGCTGTTAGACTACTGTCTAAATAATTGTGAGTCCAGTGATTTTTACCTCAGCGTATAATGAGAACACATGTTATTTGTCTTTCTGTACCTGACATATTTCACTTAACACTGTCTTCAAGGGCCCCATAATTTCCTGCAAGTGATAGGATTCATTGTTTTTCATGAGAGAACAGCATTCAGTTCTTATATAGGTGCCACATTTTTGGCCAGTTCATCTGTCAGCAGTGGTGTTTATACTGCTTTTGTAGGAATGAGAAAGAGACTTCTTTTTTTATTTATAATTTTTTATTAAAAAAATATTCTTTCTTTTAACATACCAACCCCTTTTCTCCCTCTCTCCCCTTCTCCTGCTCCCATCCACCTCCCTCTTTCCCACCCCCATCCCCTCCTCATAGAGGGTAAGGCCTCCCTTGGGTAGTCAACACAGACTGGCATACCAAGTTGGGGCCGGAACTAGCCCCTCCCCGCTGCATCAAGGCTGAGTAAGGCATCGCACCATAGGGAATGGGCACTAAAAAGCCAGTTCATGTACTTGGGATAAGTCCTGGTCCCATTGCCAGGGGACCCACAAACACATCAAGTCATTCAGCTTTCACCCCCATTCAGAGGGCCTAGTATGGTCCCATGCAGGTCCCTATGCTGTCAGGTCAGAGTCCATGAGCTCCCACTAGCTTGTGTCAGCTATCTCTGTGGTTTTTCCCATCATGATCCTGAAAACCCTTGTTCCTATAGTCCTTCCTCCCTCTCTTCAAATGAACTCCAGGATCTTGGCCGAGTGCTTGGCTGTGGGTCTCTGTATCTGCTTCCATCAGTCACTGGATGTAGGTTCTATGATGACAATTAGGGTAGTCACCCATCTGAGCTCAGGGGAAGGCTAGTTCAAGCCCCCTCTCCATCATTGCTATAAGTCTTAGCTGGGGACAATCTTGTGAGTTCCTGCGGTTTTCCCTAGCTGCAGATCCCCTTAGTGGTACTTTCTGTCAAGATATTTCTTTCATTGCTCTCCCTTCCTATCTCTCCCCCAACTTGGCCATCTCAAGCCCTCATGTTCCCACCCCTATCCCCTCCCCTCCATTCCCCAGTTTACCAAGGAGATCTTAACCCTTTTTCCCTTCCTGGGGCGATCCATGTGTGTTCCTCTCAGGTGATGAATTCAGTTACCTACTGGAAGCAGCTTAAAACTGAGTTTGGAGAAAAGTGAAAGCTGCTTCTGAGATCAAATGGAAAGATATTAGGTAGTGATTAGGAACTGTTAATATGGGAAATGGGGATAATGGAGGGAGGTCATGCAGTAAATCTGTATGCCTGGTTTGGGACGCAATCCCCTTGTGCTCCTTACTATCATTGTTTATACCATTTTACTGGGGAAGAACAAATGTGAACATTGGCATTAATTATCAGAAAAGGGAGAGGGGTGGGAAGAAGTGAAAAGAGAGGGAAGGACAAGACAAATGAGTGCACGTGAGAGAATAGGAGAGACATTTTCAAGGAAAGAAACACACAGATTTAGAGAGACTGACTGTAAATTTGAACGCCAAGGGAAAGGAAAAATGAATCCCTAAGAGGAAAGTGAAGAAGAGAGGACTGTCTCAAAGCATCATCTCTGGGGACGTTGAGAAGATTCTGGCTCTGCCATCTGCAATGGATTGCTCACTTGGGGTTGAGGGAAGGTAGGTGGTAACTGGATCCCATGTCTATCCGCCCACTCCTAGGGATAAAGCTGTGAGAATAGTAGAAAGAGGCCAGCAGATGGATAAATGATGTCATGGAGCTGAGAGGGAGGCGAGAGGAATTCCCCTGTTGTAAGTGGGACTGTGGTATGCTGCTTTAAATTAGTAGATCCACAGGGAATGCTAAGATATCGAGGAAAGGGCAGGATGAGAAAAGCTTTCTACTTTTCATGACCTTCAACAAAGCCATGGATGAGGGCCAGTGGCCAGCTGTGTTGATTTGGGCAGGGAGTTCTGAGACACCTTTTGCTTGGCAAAGCATTTGTTAACAAAGAGCATATAATAAAAAGCAGAAAGATATCCATGTCCCATTTCTACATGTTGCCTGAAATGGCAGTCATGAGTCTGTGTTCAGAACCTGTGCTTTGCTGAGACATTGCATTTCCTGAATTCTTCTCCCATAAAAGGATAAATAAAATGAGCACTGACAGAGAAGATCCTATGGTGTAACCTGAAGAATGACTGATTTTTCCAGGTTGTGTGGCATCAACCTCACCACCACTGGGAACCCCAGGCACTTTGAGGACCGAGCTGAGAAGCCACAACAACAAACTAAGTTAGTGCTTGGGGTAGTTAAAGTGGCCCCAAGGGGAGAATGTAGCAACAGTGATTGAGTAATTGCTGTTAATTCCTCTTTATTCTGACCTGTTTCTCAAATTTTTTGGATAGAAAATATTTGTTACATTATATCAATTGCTTGCCTAGTAGCAACATGGATGGGTGAACAACTTTTCAGAGTGAAGTTGGTTTTTGAATATTTACCATGGTTTTTACTAACTCTCATTCGTATGGATGTTCTAATGATTAGAACATACAGAATATAAAATTTTTGAAACACAGAGTTTATATGCTATGTGTTAGCTCTCACTTTCTTGTCTTCATTCCAAAAGTTTAACAATGTGTTGGTTGATAAGTGCTAAGGCAAGTTTTTCACCAACTGACTGTTTTGGCAGCTCTATGAAACGGCTTCTAAATAACAAATATTGATCTTTGGTAAAATTACTTTAGATTTGTCCTCTGTCCCCTTGGCCTTAATAACTGCTTATGTCATGGAAAGCTAGTCATTATATAATATTCAAAAAACCAAATTCTGTCCATAAAGACAAATTCTGAAAGGGAGAAATATGATGGTACTCTAAAAGAATGTATAGCTAAAATAGGGACATCTGTAACTTCATTTCCCATTTATGTGACCAAATCCCTGAGAAAAAGCAGTTTTAGGAAGGAAAGATTTCTTTGGGCCTATCATTTCGGAGTTAGGGCTCGGCTCTGTCCTGGAAGAGATGCCCAGGTAAGGAAAGCAGGTCAGAGCTGTGGTAGAAGAGTGTGAGTCTGCCTGTTCATGTCTCTACAGAGTAAGAAGAGACAGCTAGTCAGCTAGGCTGTAAAGCTCAAGGCTTATCCACCAGGTCTATGCTGCCTCCCCTTCTTCTTCTAGTTAGACCAACTGTCTGAAGGCTCGATGACCTCTCTAAGCCACACCATCATCAGAGGACCAGGGATGAAACCTGTGAGTCTGTATAGGACACTTACATCTAAATCGTAATAGAAATTTTCAGACTTGAAAAAGAATGGGTGAACTAGAGAAACACAAAGATAGAGAAAAAGTGGCCAAAAGGCAGTTGTGGCTTGGAGTGAAGAAAAGCAGTCATTGCCAGCCAGTATTGGAGTAAGGAGAGAACTTGGGGCATAAATACCCTGGCTTCACTCTGTTCCTGCCAGAGGCTCCCAAAGCCTCAGATCAATAAGTGACTAGCATGTTTCACACAGAGAAATAATCTGGAGGTGGAAGTAGGCATCACTAGTAAGAGTGAGGTGTACATGTGTTATTTTATGCATGAGTGTATGGGGGGGTTGCCTATGCCATGACACACATGTTGAAGTCAGAGTATAATGGAAATCAGTGGAAGAGTACATTTTGTATGAATCAGTTATCTTTTATGAAGCATGAATCTATTTAGTCTTAACAATAAAAATCTGGACTCAGATATCAGGGTTAAAGATGAAAGATCAGAGAAGCAGAGTAGCCAGCCACAAGAGACTTCTTACCTCTATGAAATCTCAGACCGAACGGGCCAGATCCTGTCTCTATGAATCCTCAGACTGAATGCGGGAGATCCTATGTCTACCTCCTGGTGCTGGAATTAAAGGTAGGGGCCTCCCATGTGCTGGGATCAAAGGTGTCAGCCTTCTACGTGCTGGGGTTAAAGGCTTGCACCACCACCACCACCAGGCTCTGTTTCTCCTTTAGACTGGTTCAGTCTCCTGTAGACCAGGGTGACCTTGAACTCCTGATCTTCCTGCTTCCTCCTCCCACATGCTGGAATTAAAGGTGTATGCTACCACTGCCTAGCCTCTATGGTTAACTAGTGGCTAGCTCCACCCTCTGAACTCCAGGCAAGCTTTATTTGTCAGAACACAAACAAAATATCATACAACACTTTTACTATTTGTGTTCTGGGTTAGAGCTCAGGTCATCATGCTTAGCAGTAGCTGAGCCATCCCATCTTGCTAACCATTAAGTGATAATTCTATAAGAATATAGGGTCAGAAGAGTGGTATTATCATACAATTATCATACAATTTTCAACGTCTTTTTGTACACTGATAGGATATCTGAGAAATTATTTAATTGGCCTAATATTCAGGCTCAGTTCTTTGGAGGGAAGGAAAGATGACTTTAAGCTGAAATCAGATGTGAGTGGGTTAAAAATTTCAGCTGCCTTTTGGTGAATTCTCAGTGAACAAGCCATCTATTATTCACCTTAATCCAGCTCTCCTGGCACTGGGAGTTACCATGGGAACTCTAGTTTAGCCTTTTGAACAATAAGGGCCTTGGAATGGATCTATTTTGCTGTGAGGGCAGGGAGTGGGTGTTCCACCAGATAAAAGCTATCAGAAATTAATGAAATTGGTTTAGTTCTTACCTGTCTGCAGATCTGTAGTGTTTTGCCCATGGTGGACTTGGGAGATAGCCAATTTGGAAGTAGTGGCCTGAGCATGTTTCTGTCTTTTGTTTCACAGGAGAAGCTAAGTGCCTTGGATTCCATGCCTAACGAGATGGTAAGAAGCAGTTCATGTTTTCAAATGAATGGAGAGAAAAATCTGAAATCTGTAATGAGTGAGCTGACAGTGTAGGAAGGCTCATTTGCAGGATGTAACCTGGATGAACAGAGAAAATAAATTCTCTATGAGTCTCAAGAGGAAGAAAGATAGTAATTCAGCAAAACCTATACAGCATATCCCAGATGTCCCTTCTCTGTCAGCTAGAAATATGTGGAGTCCTAATGGGAGGAAACCACTAACACTCATTTTGATAAAGATTGGTAATTTTTGGCAAATGCAAGAATTTTGTATCATTTATAGGTAATATTAAATTAAATGCTATTTCTTTATAATTAAATTTATCTTCAGAGAACCTTAAGAGAACAAAGCCTTAGATTTTTACTAATGTAATTACTATACTATCACTCCTAAACTGTCAAGAAATTAACTGTCATAGAAAGGGGAAGGACATTATTATTCTAGGATATATACTCCTTGGGTATCTCACATTAAAAACTTCCAAGTGGAAGGTCACTTGTCCAAATATGCCAGCATGGTCTTGATAGGTTATACTTAGCAGAAAGAAAGGAAATGAAAGTTGTAGCCTGGCACTCCCTAGGCACCATTTATGACACATGTCTTCTCTACTAGCTTCCTATGGTACAATGACATAACCCATTGTCAATAATATCCTTTCTGATGTAGACAGTAAAGGGACATATTTTTATCAATGTATTAGTATGCTTTGACACAAACAGCATTGCTGATGGTCAGTTACCTCCTTTGTAAATGGCCTGTTCAGTTGTTGATAATACTGTTGTGGCAAACAGCAGGCACTTTCCTTGCACACATAAAGGCTGGAGACCTGCCAATAAGGAGCAAATCCATTTTAAAACCTTAAGAGATGAGCCTTGAGCCAGTAGGTGGAAACCCAATACACCTGTAGATTTGATGAGATGATGGGAAGAGTAGCTATTTTGTTAATGAGTTGTGTTCTTATGCCACAGTAGCTCCTCCCTTCAAGGCTTCACTGCTAAGCCTGTCCTCCCTCTAAGTTCTAACTGAAAGCACATTAGGTTTTCTCTTTCTCCTCCTATCTCCCTTTTCTAGGCATCAGCTAAGATCATAAGCACACCAGCCATGTTCTCTAGGTACTCTCTTCCTCTCTGGAGACCCTCAAACCATGCAGCTGCTCATAGACTTCCATTGCTCAATTTGTTTCTTATCACACAGAAAGTGTTACCTATTCTCGCCATCATTTCCCTTCTGCTAACTCCAATAAAATTGTTCCAGAGTTTTCTTCTGGGTTTGCTTTTAAATTCTTCTATGTTCAAGACCAAGAACCCACGAAAGGGGACTTGAGTCCCCTGATGATGGTATTTTAAAAATGTAAGAGTTTTCTTCATTTTGTCTAAAAGTCAACCAATGTTTTTTAGTTCTGTTTAAATAAACTCAAAGCCAACCACAATGGCTGAGCAGGCCCAGATGACCTCTGCCTCCATTTGTTAATGTATGTGTTCATAGCCTGGATGTCCTTCCTGTAGTCAGTTGAAGGGCAAACTTCTTTGGGAAGTGGCTTTATTCTCAGCACTAAAGCAGCACAAGGAAATACAGGCAAAAAAGTAAAAGGAAAGAAAGCAATGAAACCACCAAAAAATAAAAATTAAAAATCAAATTCCATTCCTCACTAACCCTAGGAGGAGATCTGTACCTCTGAATCCAAGCTTGCTTCCTGACTTTTTTTTTAGTTTTCTCTATAACCCCAAGACAAACACGACTGGGGTTTTTAGATTACTGTGCTTAAAATACTGGAAATTTCTCTGATTCCCATCATCCATGAGATATGTATGTTCAAATGACTTTAGACATAAGATGGAATCTGCATCCATCAGACAGACACACTGTGAAGTGGACAAATACTTGCATGATTTACCACTCAGCCAGTCAATACCAATGACTGTTACTAAAGGGCTTCTTGAATTAACACATTTTCTCTTCCTGCCAAGCATGGTCATTTCTGTGCTTTGTGAAGTGAAAGAACAATAAGAAGTATTTATTTTCATACATTTGTATAGTATTGCTTTTCATGATGTTTATTTACATGGAGTAATTGTGTCAAACATATCGGCACATGCATGGCCTATGAAACAGTGGTGTATTGTAATTTAAACTAATGAGTTGTTCTGTTTTCCTGCATGACTGCCATCTGTGGGTGATACAAATCAGTTGCTAAATATGAATTACTGTTTGTGATCTAAACTATTATGACTTTTTTTTTTAAAAAATACTATGGCATTCTAGGTCATCTTTAAGAGTAATCAGAGTAGGCAAGCAGTCAAACAGGAAAGAGTCCTCCATTTACCAAGACCTCAAGATCTTTACAAGCCTTCTACTACTTAAGTCATCACCATAACCTTTAGGTTAAACTCTGCCTTGATGGTCCAATGCAGCATGTGTAGGTGGTCAATGATTTAATACTTTATATTCCAATAAGAATCAGAATATAGATGTAAAAAGTATGTTTTAAGAAAGCACCTAAGAAATGTATGTTGATCAAAGTGAAGTAGGACTCTGATAATATTTTGAAGTAGGTCTAAGAGTGACCTCTGATAGGAGTATATCTCAACAGAGAAGAACCTGGCTCTGAGAGTATATACTGGGTGCGATTTTAAAGCATTTTAAGTCACATAGAGTGTAGACACTCTCTGAATTGCATAGTTGTCAAACATTAATTGAATGTATCAGCTCAACAAACCAAAGTGCTAGGCACAACATGGAGACAACAGGTACTTCAGACAAAAATTATGTATATACATGCAAAAACAATACACTCTGAATAAACACTTTCTGTGTTTGTCACTTCACTTATTGAGAGCAAATACCTGACAAGCAGCAACTTGACAGAGGGGAGATGGAAGTTGGTTCATGGTTTGAGGCAGTCATGGCTGAGAAAAAAGGATGTCAGGAGTGTCTACCCAATGTGGCTAGCAGCTTTTGCATGTATGGGCCAATTGAGAAGCAAAGAGGAATGCTAGCATTTGGTTCACTTTCTTATTTGCCCATTTGATGGTGCCACCAACATTCATAGTAGGTCTTCCTACCTCAGTTAAGTCTCTCTGGGAAGCCCTCCCAGATATGTGTAAACAGATGTGTCCTAAGTGATTTCAAAACCTTCATGATCATATTGCCCCTGAAGCCGAACCATTACACTTTCTTTCATAGTTTTTCTTATTCCTGTGTTCTAAGAGTTGAAAATAAATATTCCATTTTAACTGACATCACCAACTCTCTGTGTAATGATATACAAATAGGTTTTCCAGTATGCAAACTTACTTATATCTTTAAAAGTGTTAATAACATATTGTTCATGTTATCTAATTTACTGCACATAATATAGTTTCATATTTTAAAATCAATAAGGCCATTCATTAACAAGAATTTCTAAGATAGTTAAAAGAATATTCATAAAATGCTTCATATTCTTTTTAATTTCATAAATAAGAGATGTTAAACATATGTAAATATTTCCATTGGATGAATATTTAAATTGAGAGCCATTTTTAAGTTATTGTTTACTGAGAACAAAAATTATAATCAGACTTAGAAAACTTCATCTCACTGAAATTAAAAATACCTCCTAATATATGTATTATATTTCATGACTCTTATTGAATAACATGATTTGATACATGGAAGCTTGTGGCATCTATATTATTTTCATAAGATATACTATAAAATACTATTTAAAAAATTTACATGCAAAATATAAACCACAGTCATATTTTTAAAACCTGCTGAAATAAAAATCAGTTCTTATTGTTGAGAGAGGACTCTCATGACCTTCAGATTTCCTATTTCATTTGATTGTATTTTCAGTGCATTTCACAATCTTCCTGACATGCAGTTATTTTAGAGAGAATTAATTCTTAAGTTTCATCTTCATTGCGGGGGGCCTGGGTCCTTATTCCTTTCATCTCATGCACAGCATTTCCCCATAGTCACTTGGGTGATAATGAACTATTTAAGCAATTCTGAATGTAGAGAATAGGCACCAGTTGGATGGTCATTTATTTGGAGTGAGGAAAATGATCTTATAATGTTAGTGATTATGTTAATTACTTCAAAGGGATGGATTGAACATACGGGTAGACAAAATGGGATGTGATAAGTGTATTGTGTTGCTAAGACACACCAGTGGCAGCCATGAATGGTTTAGAAAAATAAGCACTAGAAAAATCAGCTAATTGAAGATATATAGGGCATTTCAGATTAAAATTTGATTTATTTATATCATGTCTTTATCTTTATTATTTTCTGAGATTGTCCTGATAACAACAGCTTATGTGCAATTATGTTAGCTCTTCCGCATCAAGACTTAAATAAATTGTTGCCCTTAATATTACCTAGATGAGGCAAGCATCTCCATCCCTGGGAGAAAACCTGAGCATCTCTAGGTCATCTCGTGTCTATAATAGTTTTGGGAAGCCCAAAGGCTGCATATAAATAAGCATATTTGAAAGCCTGTGGCAGGACGGTGCATAATGTTTAGGTAATGACTAAAATGTAGTGAACAGAATTCTCAATTCAATCTGGCTGACAAATGAGAAAAATGAACATAGCTAATTTAAACATGGTCTGGTAAAGGAGAAAAAAATCACTTACTGCTACCCTTCTTAAAATGGATTGTGGTATTTAATTATTATTACCCTTACTCTGAATTAATTAAGTGACTATGACTTTTCTAGATACTCTGAAATAATGACAGTGATGTCGCACAGTGCCAGAGGTTGACAATCTAGTTAAACTGCCAGGAAATCAAACACATGTCAAGTACTCCCAGCAAGAGCAAGGCAGTTGGCTTGCAAAAGAAAGAAGGAAATTACAGGAGACCCTCTATGGCCAATAGCAGGGGACAGAATATTGGGGGACTTCTCCCTCATTATATTTGATGGCTATGTATATGGAGTTATTTTCAAATATCAAGCAAACTTTCATTGTTTATTTTCTTTCCTCCTTAACTGGAGAAGGATCTTATAATACAAGATGTTTTCTTCAGCCCCCATTCCCCAAATGCTAATATGTTTTCTTCATGAGTAGGAAAAAATGTGAATATTATCTTTAATAAATGGTTTTAGTGAAAAAAATATTAAAAGTGCTTAACAGGACTGGAGTGACGAATTAGTAGGAAAGTGCTTGCCACACAAATGAAGGCCTGAGTATAGATCTCCAGAACCCACATGTTCTAGGCATTGGAGCACGTAACCAGTGCTCCTATTGTCAGATGGAGGGTGGGGACTGAAGAATCCTCTGGAGCTTAAGGGTCAGCTAGCATTGTGTAAACTTTAGTGAACAAAAATACTCTGTCTCCAACATGAGTGAAGGCTAGCAACACTTGAGGACACTGAGGTTGCCTGTAACATCCAAAGTTTACATGCAAGGGCACACGCACACGTGCGCGCGCGCACACACACACACACACAATTTTTAACATAAGTGCTTATACTATTTAAAAAAACTTAATTTAACTTGAAATCCAACCAATACTATTTTTCTGTATTTTAAATAAATGTCACATAAATGGTAGTCATTCATTCCATAAAAATCAGTTGATATGCTGACTGCCCTGATTTAGTTATTATACATTCTGTACTTATATCAAAATACCATGTTGTGCTATATAAATAAATATAATTTTTGTGTGTAAATTAAAATAAGGCAGTTGAATGTTGTGTTAGTCAAGGTTATTTAAAGGAAGAGAACTAATACTATGAATACATTATATATATACATATATACATACATACATATATATACATACATACATACATACATATATATATATACATATATACATATATACATATATACATATACATATATATATATATATATATATATATATATATATATGGAGAGAGGTGGGAGTTTATTGGATTGGATGGCTAACAAGATGCAATCACAGTATAAAAATTGAAAAGACCAAGAATCTGGTAATTGTCCAGTCTATGAGGCTGGATATCTCAGCACCCCAAATCTGGCACTGGAGACCCAGAGGATACTTGGAGAGCTACTGGTCTTCAGTTTATGTTGGAGTCCTGAAGAATTGGAAGTTAATACAGGCCACAGCCACAGGATAGACTTACTAGTGAGAATGAGGGCAAGCAGGCAGAAAGAAGGTTCTTCCTTCCATGTCATTTTATTTGGGCTGCCACCAGAAGGTATGGCCCACATTTGGAGTGGGTCTTCCTTCTTTAAAAAAAGTAAGATAATCTCCCAGGAAAGCCTTTCATCTTGGTTTCTGGTGATTATAGATGCACTCAAATTGACAACTAAGATAAGCTATCACAGATGTCAAGTGGCATAAAGTGCTGGCTGTCTATCTCCCAATTTCCTTCTATTCATACTTAAGGAAATTTCTTAGTTTTCCCAAATGTCTAACGACAAAGACAGGAACTACATATGTTTTCTGCCTTGCCCTATAACTTAGGGTGCCATGTGAGTAGGTTCTTGTCATGGTCAGAAGAACTGAATACCTCTGGAGAGGTCTGAGACCTTGACTTGCCTTCCCATTTACTCTGTGGTAAAGCTTTCAGTTTAGATCCATTTACCTCTAGTCAGTGTGTCAGAGAGAAATAAGCCTCAATCCTATTAAAGCCTTGCATTAGAGATCTCAGTTATAGCAACTTAGCCTGTTCATTAAACAATATAGCCTCTCTTGACAGGTATAACACTAATAGCAAAATTGCATTTTTAAAAGTTTTTATAACCTTCATTTTTCTTATGGGAACATATTAGAGCCTATAAATTCCAAGTACCTGCACATCCATCCTCCTGGGGAACTGTTTTTAGGAAGACATTGAATCTCAATCATACTGGTATTATTTAGACAGCATCGTTCCTTCAAGTTACGGATGCTGCCTTTGCATGCCAACACCCCCCACCTCCCTATTCTCTGCTGCATTGCTGGTGAAACCCTCTTTCCACTAATATTTGTGCTTTATAGTCCTCACACCTCACCTGTGAGAAACTATAGGCAAACAGTTCACATGAACTCTTAGTTTGCTGAGAATTTCATAGCTGCTTATGATGATATCTGCCTTTAATGGGAGGAAAAAGAATTCAGAAAATCTCAGAGCATAAAGGCACTTGCTGCCAAGCCTGACAACTGAGTTCAGTCTCCGGACCAACTGCGAAAGGAGAGAAGAGCCTCTTGAAAACAATACTCTGACCTCCACATATGCAGCTTAACAAGCTCTCCTGACAAAAATTAATAAATACATTCAGTAAGACATAAGTTTTTAAAATAATGGTGGTATCAGTATTCTGCACTAGAATAGCAGAGTTTTTTTTCTGTTTAGGAAATCTTATATATGTTCTAAAAATGATGACTTTTACAAGATTCCTCGAATCTAAATAATTTTTCGGCATATCTGTCTTTTACTGTTGACATCCCTTAATTAGCTACCACTCTTTTCCCCAAACTAAGTGATCTGTGTAATTGTAATACTATATGCATGCTTACACTACTACAATATAAATTGCAATTAGAACCCTTTTAATTTCTATCACTGTAGGATTTACTTTAATGTTAAAGGGGTTCCTTTAAGTAAAATAATTCAAAAGAAGATGTAGCTTTTCTTTTTTCTTATTTCTTTCAAAGAAATATTTTTGTAAGTTTGACACTTAAGAGTCATAAAGGACACTTTGTATTGATAGAATTCTCCTTCTTCAAATGTTCACCCAGCCAGTCTGAACAGTCAAGTAAGAATGCCCCAAGTCAGTACTTTCCAGGTACGGAAACTCTATTCTTCAAAGGAATCAGACTATCTCCTTGTTCCCACACTTCCACTCTTTAAATTTTTACCATTTTCTTTTACCCCACTCACGCAAGGTTTAGAAGAATGGAATCTTTGGTATGCATGCCCCCTCTTTTTTTTGGTTTTTTGAGACAGGGTTTCTCTGTGTAGTTTTGGTGCCTGTCCTGGATCTCGCTCTGTAGACTAGGCTGGCCTTGAACTCACAGAGATCCACTTGGCTCTGCCTTCCGAGTGCTGGGATTAAAGGCATGTGCAACTGCTGTCCAGCCCACATGACTTTAAAATTTTTTTTTCATTTATTTTATGTGCTGACCACAGTTTCCCCTCCCTCTTCTCCTCTCATTCTCCCCCTCCTAAATATCCCCCTTGCCATCCACTTATCCAGTCCTCCTCTGTCTCCACTCAGAAAGAAGAATGACTCCCATGGGTGTCAACAAAGCATGTCACATCAATTTGAGGCAGTACCAAGCTTTTCCACCTGGGTATGTATGTCTTTATCTTATTCAGAATATAAATGAACAGAATAGGTTTTCTGTTTCGGCACACTGCACTCCTGTACACAGATATGAGGGTTTCTGGGTGGTGTATATTCCAGTAGAGTTATTCTTTGCTATTCCTTGTAGGAAACATTACATGTAACAGCATTTTTGCTTGTCCATAACTGTTTCATTCTCTGTAGCTGTTTCATTCAGCAAAGAAATCACATACCTTACTCTGAGTTCATTGCATTACATGCTATGGTTGATCATGTTACTGCCTTGTCACTTTTAATAGTTCATAAGCAAGATTCTGTGCTTCACATAATCAGCACGTGTCTGTGCTCACAAACTCCACAGTAATTTTTTGATGCTGAATTCACTTTGTGCCCAGTTTTCTGATTCTGCTTCCTTTTCCTGTTTCCCTTGTCTACCTCATCAACTGTAACCCAGTGATCACATATTTTCTAAAAGGGAGAAACTATAGAGAAGCATGCTTCATCATGTCAGATCCAAGCACCTAAGAATATTGCTAAGGAAAAAAAAAACATGTAAAACAAAAAAAATAAAATGAAGTCCTTTTGTTTCTGATTCTTTTTACATATATTTAAAGAAAAACAAAAACAAAACCAAAAACAACAACAAAACTCTAACAACCTGGAACTGGTGGTTTGTTTGACTTGGTGGTTAAGGTACTTGTTGCTCTTCTAGAGGACTAGTGTTCAGTTTCCAGCATCCATGTGAGGTAACTCATAACCACTTGTAATTCCAGCTCTTGGGATCTAAATTCTTATCTGGAATCTACAGTCTTCTCCACACATATGACCTATTCACATACACAAACAGACATACACATGCACATAAATAAAGATAAATCTTAAAATTATCTGACAGGCATATTCTGTCTTGTGGGAAAAAGTAACTAAGGGATACATTTTATAACTTCCAGGAAATGAAGACCAATCAAATGAGAGAAGAGCATCACCACCAGTTTCACAATACTGAAAGATTAGAGGGCCTCCAGCCTCTGTTCAGGTGGCCTAAATCTATAGTAATGGACAGCCATTTGCTTTCTCATTGCTTCCTGAGGTGTCTTTTAAATATCTTCTTGTACTCCTTCAGTCCATATCACGGTTGCTTGTTAAATAAAAGGACTAAGGATTTTTACTTTATATTTGCCTTAATGGATCAATGGTTGTGTGACTGAAAATTGTCAATCTACTTTTGACATGTTTAAATGAAAATGGTTGACCAGAAGTCTCATCTCAGTCTTAAAGTCCATTAACTTGGAATGTGTAATTTCATTTACATATAGAATAAAGTCTAGATAGATTAATTACATGGTCTGTGCCTAGCCTGCTTGGCAACTGACATAAGGCTTGGTGTGCAGTATCTGAGCTTGATATGTAATACTTCTATATCTCTACCCAAGATTTAAACTGTGTAAAATTTGAAATTCATGATGTATTCCTTAATGCTACTCCATACACACATGCTTAAACCCTGGAGATAAATTAAAAGCTTGCTGCTAGGATTGGTGAAATAGCTCAGTTAGTAAAGTACTTGCCTTACATACACAACAACCTGTTTAATTCCTGGAACCCACATAAAAAGCGATGTAGGGTAGTATACACTTATAATCACAGTGCTAATGAAAAAGAGTCCACGGGATCTCTAGGACTCCCTAGCCAGCATACATAGCCTTCTCTTCTAAGTAAGCTCTAGGCCAGTGAGAGACCCGGTCTCTCAAGAAACAATACAAAACAAAAATGCTAATGACAGATTTCTTTTGGGCCATCAACCAGCTCCCAAATCATGACACTGAGATTTATTATAAGTTTTGAATGCTTGGCCTAGATTAGGCTCATTTCTGGCTTCCTCTTTGAATTTAAATTAACCTCTTTCTCCTTATCTACCTTTTGCTTTGGGGCTTTTTTACTTGTTTTTACTTCTGTACATCTTACTTTCACTACTTCTCATGTCTGGCTATCTGGTGACTGCCTGGCTTCTTGCCCCAGGTATGTCCTTTGTTTTCTCCTATTTTTTCTCTCCTTCCTCTTCTCTCAAGCTTAGATTTCTCCTCCTATTTATTCTCTCTGCCCAGCAGCCCTGCCTATCCTTTCTCTGAATAACTATTGGCCATTCAGCTCTTTATTAGACCAGTCAGGTGCATTAGGCAGGCAAAGTGAAGCAAATGTCTTTACATAATTAAACACACATCATTATATCATTAAACAAATGCAGCATAAACAAATGTAAAGCACTTTTATACAGTTAAAGTAATATTCTGCATCATAGACAAATGTAACAAATCTTTGGCCAGTTAAAATAATTTCTACGATATTTTCCCCTTTTTGTTTAAATGAAAAGAAAAGGTTTTAACTTTAAGATAGTAAAACCATATACATCAAGAACAATTATCAATTAAGGATTGCATTTACAATGTCCAATATACTTGTATTTGGAAAATTCAGAGAAAATACTCCATTATTAATCCTATCTTGATGACGCTCAAGTCTTATACCTAATATACATTCTATCATAACTAAAGAAACTATAACTATCTAGCCTTCAACTTCCTCAAAACCCTGGAAGGATATGTTACCTGAGTAAACAAAGTGCAGTGCAAGCCACTTCTAAAATTATAGAAATGACAGACATCTGGCTTCCTGAAGAGTCACCCAAGATTCCTCTGCAATGGTGGAGCATCCATCTTCACCTACAGGCCCGGAATATCTGGCAGACTCTTCTATGAAGCAGGAATTTTGAAGGACTAGACTACCTTGTCTTGGCAAATTTGGCAGTCACTTTTCTCTGTGTCTTGCTTGTCCAGTTTGTACAGCTTACTGTCAGCAGTCAAGGCAAGAACAGTTTCTTGCCTAAATGACTAGTTTTGCCACAGTGAAAGCAAACTCCACATGGAGTTTTTTCAGTACTCATCATCTTCTCTAAAGTAAGTTGGTGCTGCCAGAAGCAGGTGTGTCTCACTGTTATGAAAAGCCACCAGTTGTTAAACATCTTGAAGGCCATATTCTGTAGGTCTCTGAAGAATTTGAAGACCATCAATCTATCTAAATATATCTGTTTAACCTTGAAAATATACCTATTATGACTACAAGTTTGATTATTATAGATAACTATTAATCTGCATTTCTTATTTATACATTAATTTTTTAAATGAGCTACATGAACACAATACCCCAGACAAGAGTAGAAACCTACATTCTTTATAATAAAAATAATTTTAAATTTGTGTTGATATATCAAAATCCATACCAATGTAAAATATTTGAGGATAATAGTTGTCTTTTCATCCTATATTTTATATCCCACTTAAACTATTACAAACATCCATAACCTACCAATGGCCAAAAACCTCCCACCCTTGGGAATATGGGCATTGTGTTGTCTAGACTACTTCCTGTTGCCTGTGGACAAAGGCATCTTTTTAGGGAACCTGAGGAATTTTAAATAATGGTCAATTCCTGGGAAAACCAGTTATAACATTTTTTTTGTCCAGTCTTTGTACAATGGGAAAGTGCAAGGCTTATCTGCAGTTCCGGCGAAAATAGTTTGTGAGGCTGGACCATCCCAGCCAGCTGCCTTGAAGATATTCTAGATGCAGAACTCTGAGGAAACTGCCCTAGAGGTACTCTGAGAGGCTGAATCACCCAGGCTACCTATTTTCATTGGTGTCTGGTCTCCTTGCCCTGAAAGCACACAAACTTTCAAAGGTAACATACATTTCTTCATTATCATGAGTATGGACTACGTATTGTACACAAGCCAGTCAATAATTACCTTTCATTTTATGTTTGAGTGGGTAAAATATGTCACCTGTTTTGTAGTTTTTCTAAGTTTATTTCTTTATATCTGTAGCCAAGATTTTCAGGAGGTCTTCCCCCTGAAACCTGGTATCTATCAATCTTGAATGAATCCACAGCCTTTCAATGCCTGTGGAAACAAAAGCATAACCTCATCCCCAAAGCAATATATGTTTTTTACTTCCATTTTAAAGTTAAGGCAGTCCTAAAGTATATAGGTTGTTTTAATTTAATGGTCTCATTCACAGTCCCATGTCTCCCAGGAGCTGCCATTTGCTTATCAGCAATCAAAAAATTCAAAGACAACACCATACCATACAGGATCTAGACTCCCTGTGTATTTCCCATCTTCATGTGGCTTAGTCTTTTTTTTATTATTTATATACTGTTTACTTTTTTCTATAACTGTCTGTATCTATTTTCTTTTGTTTCTTAAGCCTATGCACACTTTTAAACACATTGTAACCTGTTTAAAAGGTTGTTTTTCCTATCTGAACCTACTTTACTATATATCTCTAGCCTTTTCTGTCTATATGGGCAAATTCTTAAACTGCTAAGCTACCACTGGGTCCTCCTCCTCGGCTTTGCTGTTGCCTGCATTCTCTCCTCAGGTCTATGAGAGCTGAGACTTAAGCTCACAGTCCTATTTGGGAGGTGCATTTGACCAGGGACTTCATTCAACCACACCAGCTCTAGAAGTTGGTGCCCTGAATGGTGGCAGACTTTTTTAGCTTTTTGTTTCTACTTAACACACCAGCTGCTCAAAGGACTCACTGTAAGTTATTTTTCTTCTCTCTTTCTTCCTCTCTCTCTCTCTCTCTCTCTCTCTCTCTCTCTCTCTCTCTCTCTCCCTCTCTCCCTCTCTCCCTCTCTCCCTTTCTCCCCCCTCTTTCTCTTTCTCTCTTTCTCTCTTAGGCCCTATGTAGAAATTCAGTCACCACATAGGAATGCCAAAATGTACCAAGCTTTTTCTTTTGGGCCCACCAACCAGCTTCCAAATAATGACACTGAGACTTATTATTAGTTCTGAAAACTCAGCCTTGCTTAGACTTCTTTCTGACTAACTTTTTAAAGTTAAACTAACTTGTTTTTTTACCTATATTTTGCCTTAGGGCTTTTTACTTTTCTTTCTGTCTGTATGTTTCACTTTCACTGCTTCTCATGTCTGTCTGTCTGTCTGTC